ATTCCTCTCCCTGCATCATGAAGAGAGTCCTTGCCCCTCTGGCCCCCACAGCACCCTGCAGCAGCCTGTCTCATTATCCTCTAGGGCCTGGGTCTCCTGATGAACTGCAGCTTCCTCGAGGATGATTGTCGTATCCCCAGGGAGCACAGCACCAGGCATATAGTAGGTGCTCAAGAAATGCCTGCTGAGCGAGTGAGTGTGCCCAGGACAGCACAGGAGGTGAGTCTGTGGGTCTGTTTACGTGTGTGTGTGTGTGTTTGTGTGTGCACGCGAGCAATGCCTGTCATAGCCTGGCCTGCGTCTTACCTCACCCAGAGAAGCTCCTGGCAGGGCCAGGAGGAGGGGCTGGGCTTTCTTTCCTGCTCATTTGCATGACAGGTGTTGGCAGTTGATCTAACTGTGATAATGAAGAGGATGGGGGGTGCTAATTCCTTCTCAGTTTATTGAATCCACCAATCCTTCACAGCCTCAGGGCCCTGAGAGGGGGTGATTAAAAGACACTTCAGCACGCTGGTTATTGCCAATTAACAGACTCAAATATAAACAATTAATAAAGCCACAGTAGGGGGTGAGAGGGAGGGATTCAATCCCCCTGGCCGGGTGAGCTCACACAGTTCCGGGGCCCCTGGGCCCAGCCACACACGGGTGACCCTGCTGGCGGGGTGGGGGGGCAGGTGGTTGGGGTTGATGGAAGACGCCAGGGAGGAGAATGCTGGTGAGGGCCACATGACCTCAGACTGGGGGAGCAGGGCTGCAAGCCCACCCCTGCTGATGCCAGTGAGGACACACCCAGGGCATGGCAGGAACTTGCCCAAGGCCCCAGGGCCCACTAAAGCCAGTGCTCCATGGACCACGTGTTCCATGCTACTTGGGCCAGGCCGTGGCCCACCCTGATGGGTCTCCTCACCCACCCAAGGTAAGGGGCTGTCTCCAGTCACTGGCCTCTTAGGATGAGCCACGTGACTCTGTTTCTCTTGCCAGGCTCCCCCCCCACCTGCCGTGGTCCCTATAACTTGACTTCTCGTACAGGAAAGGTGCCCACCTGCCTGGGGGCAGCACTGCCTGTTAAGGACGTCTCGGGGTTGCAGCATGAGCTTCCAAAAGGCACCGCTCTGCACCACTGGTGCCACACATGGCAAAAGCCAATCTCGTGAAATCCTTAAACCCTTAGCAGGAGGCAGAATGACAGGCAGGAAAACACTCACGCCTCAAGGGCTTAGGGAAGTCACTTCCACAACCCAAGTCACTCTCTCGGGAGCAGGCGGTGCAGGTGCCATGGGCCGCACGTGATCTGGGCCAGGCACCCTCCAGCTTGTGCTGCAAAGGACCGGATGGCACGTGCCTGAGCTCTGCCAACCGCACCGCCCGCATCACAGCCACCTAATCCGCCCATGTGGTGTGAATGCAGCCAGAGACGATACGTAACGAATGTGCGGCTGTGTCCCAAGGAAACTTTATTTATGGATGCAGAAATTTGAAATTCATAGAATTTCACGTCACCAAATATTATTCTTATCTTGATTCATTGTCACCCATTTAAAGATGTAAACCCATTCTTAGCTCTCAGTCCATACAAAAATAGGTGGTGGCACCGATTTGACCCATGGGCCAGAGTTTGCCCGTCTCTGATCTAGGCCTTAGCATTCTGGGATGTCTTGGGCATTCTACAGGCAACTTCCCTGAGATATGATTCCTCAAGGGAGGGGGTACTGGGAGCTGAAAGTCCCTCCATCCAGCTCAAGAAATGGGGGTGCCAGACCCTGTTCCACGAGAGAACCAAGTGGCCACACAGCATGGCCCATAAGGGACAGAGAGCCAGGCTGAGGGGCAGGTTGGGACAAGCAGAGAGACAGATGAGGGGGGACACTGGCTGCCCCACGACCCACTTGTGTTGGGGGCAGGACAAGGACGACCACCCAAAATGGTGCTGAGCCTCAGCACCTGGACCTGGGACAGTTTCCTGCTCTCATATGGGACCACGGATATGTCTGATATTCTGGAATTTCAAAGGAAATAAAATAGAAGGGACTCAGAGGGAGCTCAGAAATTGTCTTTCTCTCCTCACCTCTATTCACCTGATTCATTCAATCAACAAACATTTTTTGAGAATCTACTAAAGGCACCTTGTTTTTCAGTTTAAGACAAGCCTCCTGGTCTTGCGCTGTCTTCGGAAATGTTCCTGGAGAAGTGTTGTGTTTGGGATTGCCAAGGACATTCTCGAGTCACCTGGGAAGTGAGAGTAACTAGAGGACATCCCATGTCCACAGAGCAGATAAGAAATCTCTCGAGGGAATTCCTGGGTTTTGACAAAGAAAGTCATTTAGCAAAGCCAGTACTGTGTCAGAGGCAGCGGGAAGGTTTCCTGGAAGCCTTGGTGTAAAAGACCATAACGATGGATGTGAAGGAGTGCAGCGGCTTTGACAAGTCAAGCAGTCAGCTTGCAGTCTGCTCCCTGTTGGGTGCTCCACAGTCCTCCTCCTGCCTGAGCTTCCACAGGGCGCCTCTCAAGCTGGGGACAGGTAGCGGAACCAGAGCCCATTGTCACAGCAGGGACCAGCTGCCCAGTTCAGGGTTGGGGCAGGGCACGGGCCTCTCCTTTCCTCACCCTGCACCTTCAACCCATGAGAAACCCTTCTGGCTTTAGCTGTAAAATGTGTCTCATTGTGGTTTTGATTCACGTTTTCCCCACGATTAGTGATGGTGAGCATTATTTCACATACCTGTTGGTCATTTGGATGTCTCCTTTTGAGAAATAGCTATTCAGGTCTTTTGCCCATCAAAACCACAGTGAGATATCCATTGCCTTATACCTGTCAGAATGGCTATGATCAAAAAGACAAGAGATAACAAGTGTTGGCAAGAAAAGGAAACCCTAGCACGCTGTTGGTGGAAATGTAAATCAGCACAGCCATTATGAAAAGCAGTATGGAGGTTCCTCAAAATATTAAAAATAGAACTACCATATGATCCAGCAATCTCACTACTGGGAACATATCCAGAGGAAATAAAATCAGTATGCTGAAAAGATATCTGCACTTGAATACTTTTTGCAGTACTATTCACAATAGCCAAGACATGGAATCAACCTAAGCGCCTTTTGACAGATGAGTGGATACCGAAAATTGGTACATATACACTGTGGAGTACTATTCAGCCACAAAAAATAAGGCAATCTTGTCTTTGGGACAACATGGATGAACCTGGACAACACTATGTTAAGTGGCATCAACAGGCACAGAAAGACACGTGATTCTCACTCATGTGTAGAAGCTAAAAAGTCATTCTCATAGAATTAGAGAGTGGAGATTGGTTATCAGAGGCTGGGGTGACCTGGGAGAGAGAGGATGGGAGAGGCTGGTCAAAGGATCTATAATTACAGTTAGATAAGAGGGGGGAAGACCTGGCTCAGTGGCTCACGCCTGTAATCCCAGCACTTTGGGAGGCTGAGGCGGGTGGATCATGAGGTCAAAAGATCGAGACCATCCTGGCCAACATGGCGAAACCCCGTCTCTACTGAAAATACAAAAATTAGCTGGGTGTGGTAGTGCTCACCTGTAGTCCCAGCTACTCAGGAGGCTGAGGCAGGAGAATAGCTTGAACCTGGGAGGCAGTGGTTGCAGTGAGCCAAGATCACACCACTGTACTCCAGCATGGCAACAGAGTGAGACTCCATCTAAAAATATAGGGGGGATGGTGCGGAGAAAGTCCAGAATAGACAAACGTACAAAGACAGAAAGTATTCAATCAATGATCAGTGATTGCCTGTGGCCTGGGGTGTGAGGGAGAGGAAAGGTTTCAGGGCCAGAGTGAGAGTAGAAATTGGGAATGACTGCTGATGGTGATGGGGTTTCTTGAAAGATGAAAATGCTCTAAAGTTGAATGTGGTGATGCTTGCACTCTGCAAACATACTAAAAACCATTGGATTATACACTTATAAATGGGTGAATTGTAGGCTAGGTGAATTATATCTCAATAAAGCCATTTTTTAAAAGTGCCCCCAAATCTAACCATTTTGCTGCGCTGCTGCCATCCTGGCTGGGGCCTGAAGGACAGCAATCACCCCTCACTGGTCCCCTACCTCTAACTCTGCCCCACAGACTGTCCTCTAGAGACGGATCCTCCATGGCCATCAATCACACCACGTCCTGCTCTGGTCTCCACTGTCCCAAGGCTGTCATTCCTAGCATGAATCCAAAATTTTAGAGTGGCCACTCTATAAACTCCCAGCCACCACGCTCTCCCTTTTCACTCGTGCCTGCCACGCAGGCTTCCTCACCTCCCTCCACTGGTTCCTCCTCCCTCCATGTCATAGCCTCCCTCCCTTCCTCTCTTCCTGCTCAGAGACTGGCCCCTTCCCTGCCCTCCTCTTCCTCTGTCTTCCCCACATCTACACCCCTGCGAGTAGTGGTAGTACCTGGGGTCTGTGGATCCCATACAGATCCCTGGATAGAATTCCAGGAGCCTGGGAATGTGGACGGGGAAGAGTCACACCTTTGTTTTCACTCTTCTTTATTTGAATGTAGCACCTGTTTCCATGTGTGTGTTAGCAGCAAACCGCAGAGGTGGTCCCAGAATCTGGGACTTTGTCACCCACAGGAAGTGCAGATGGTTTCAATGACATTATAATTGCAGCAGAAGCCTTGAAGTCTCACTCGTGCTCAAGCTTACTTTGAGAGGATGTGGTTTTAGACAGCCCCACTGCTCAATCTCAATCTCAGTGCGTTAATAAAGAGGCACGTATATTGCTCCAGTGCAATTTTTCCCTAATATTTTGATAGCTGCATTTTAATATAATTGTTTTCCTTTGAATCTTAGCTATTTTATTTTGTGGACTTAAAAATGTTATTCTGAGAAGGGGTCCATAGGCTTCCATTCTACAATGTGTACTCTGTGCAGAGAGGGCCCGACACAAATGGGGAGCTCAATCAACAGGCAGTGGGAGGAAGGGCGGGGGAAGGGGCGGGAGGGAGCCGCTCAGAACTCACTCAGCTCAGCAGCGAGGGCAGAGCCTGTGTCCAGCTGGCCTGGGATTGAAGCTGGCTCCATCACATGCTCAATGTGGAGCTTTGGGCGCTTCCTATGACCTCCCAGAGCCTCCGTTTCCTCATCTGCAAGATGGGACACAATCACACCTGCTTCATATCATTGTTATGAAGGTAAGACAGTATGCTTGGTTCATGGCCTGGGGCACAGTGGGTGGGCAATAAACAATACCGATTTTGTCAAAGTGCTGGGCTTTTGTCCATGGCTCTGGCCCCTCAGCCAGGAAGGCAAAGGCGCCCCCAGGCAGCTCTCCCTCTACACATTTCTGGGAATGCTAAGGCAACAGGGCCTCCACTCGCTCTCGGCAGGCTGGCCAGGGCTGGACCACAGGCAGGGGCTGCAAATGGGGAAGGAAGCACTGTCCATCCAGGCTGGGCTGGGGGACACACCTGCGTGGACATTCTGGGGGGCAGAGGACATGGGAGGAGATGTTTCCAAGACCTTACCTTATGAGTCCAGAAGCATTTGTGGGGATGGCAATGCCAGGAAGGCATCTGGGGACAAATCGTTAGGAAGAGACCTGAGGGCCTGGGGCAAACCTGGCTCCACTGGCCAAGTTCTGGCCTGCTGCCCTGAAGGCTGAGTTTCCCTGTTTCTTCCTGGAGACCGCATCCCAGGGGCCAGCTTCCTTGCCCTTCCTGGTTGGGGAGTCCTAGGTTGGCCTCTCCGTTCCCCTGGGTGCCTCTTGCCCCAGACCCTGCTTTCCTACCTTTTGCCCATCACAGCCCACTCAGAAAACAGGGGACAACCTCACCAGAGGCCACCAGCCTCATCAGCGCCCCAGGGCAGAAGATGGCCTCTTGGCAGCCTCCTTGTCCCTGCACAGGCGGCATGCTCCTGCCTCCGGGCCCTGGCCAGGAATGCCCTATATCCAAATGCCCCAGGGCTTGTCACCACCACGTTCTCTCATGTGGACACGACTTCCAGCCTTCTCCACGTCCTGCCAGGGGGCTGAGGTGGTGGAATGACTTTGGAGTCTGTTTCCTCATCTGTAAATGGACAGTAGCTTGGCTTCCTGGGTTTGGCTGTGAGGACAGGGGTGCTGTCCGCGCAGGTACGCTGAGACTGGGGAGCTGGGATTCCTGCCTGCTGGAAAGAGAAATGCCTGTGGTTCTGGGGTGGGGTCTCCAGCCGGCCAGGGGCCTATCCTCCTGCCTTGCAGCTTCCCAGTGCCCTGCAGCTCACTGGCTTCTTCCACTGCCCTTTGAGAGAAGTGAGGTGGATGTTATCCCACCCACTTTACAGATGGAGAATCCACGGCTCCGAGACGTGAGGTGACACGGCACCCAGGCCTTCTCACTGTGTGCCAGGCTATGGTAACATCCTGCTGGACTGAGCCAGATGACACAGAATCCGCTTAAACCGACTTGTGGAGGTCCTGATGTTCTACAGGTGCCATCTTTCTATGCCCAGTGTGATCAGGCTGTGTGAATTTTGGGTGGGGCTCTTCGGGGACACCAGCCTTCATTTATTGAGCCTCTACCATGTGCCAAACATGTGACTCTGTGACTGGTTAATCCCCACAAGTCAAGGAGCTGGCACGGTTGTCTCATGTAGAGGTGGAGAAACTGAGCTGTAAGGACCAGCGCCAGGAGTGCGGGATGTGGGTCTGTGCTGCACAGCACCGCCCCGCAGAAGGGGAGCAGGGATGAAGAGGAGGCGTAGACTCCATCTCGGGGAAAAAAAGAGTAAAGAGAGCGCTGTCTTGAAGAAACTACAAGTGTGGAGAGTCTGCAGACGTTGGAGGGAGATGAAGGCGGTGCTGATTCAGGAGACAGAGCTTTAGCCAGGAAAGCAAGCTGGCAGCCACTTGGAAACCACCAGTAAGCCAGAGCTGGGTAAAAAATGTTGGTAGAGGAAGAAGGAAGCTGGCAGCCCTGAGCTCAGGTGGCTTCGGTATGCAGACCTGCACCCCCGGAGTCCAGCCAGGGCGAGGAGGGGGCTTCTAGGGACACAGGGTTCATGCTGGACCACTGGCCTTCCCCAGCCCCCCGTCTAATATGGGCCCCCACTGGAGTCCAGAGAAAGGACCCAGCAAAAATTGGATGCAGTGGGTCCAAGGGAGTTACCACCCAGGCCTAAGCCCCTTGAGGCTGTTGATCAGGGGTTGGGTAGCTGAGGGAGCACCAGGCAAGCGGGACATCTTGTTGCCTTTGGTGGCTGTGTGTTTGTATGTGCTTATGCGTGCGTGTGCACATGTGCACTGTGTATACATGTGCATGTGATGTGTGTGAATGTTCATTCCTGTGTGTGTGTGTGTGTGTGTGTGACTGTGCAAAAGAGCTTTGCAGGGAGAGATGGAGTCCTGGGAGTAGGAGGGCGGATTCCCTTCCCCCCCATCACCCCCCACTGAGGCTGGCTGGATGAGGAGTTCAGGGAAGGGAAGGTCTGGGGATTCTTCTTCTCCCAAAGGTGCCACCACCAGCAGGGGAGGAAAGGAGGGAGGAAGCAGCACCTTATTTAAATGCAAATGACTGAAATACAACTTTCTTTATTAAAATGCAAATTGCACTTCAGTCTCTGACACCTCCTGAGTGCCAAAGCCACAGAACACAACCAGGAATCAAAGCCGAAGGACCCCGCTCTCGTGATGGTGAGAGGCCCCATCTGCTTGGGTGTAGGAAGACATGGGGGATGGAGGGTGGGCCCCAGACAGGCTTGGGATGCTGAGCCAGGTGCTTATCCTCCCTCCGGGGCTGCTGGGAGACATCAGCAGCAGCCACCGAGGCAGATTTGGGCGGGAGGTCTGGACTGTCACCCCGTGGGGGATCAGGCTAGAGCTTCACAGGTCGTTGCCTGTGGGCTCTCTGCCTGGCTGGGTCAGCACGCTGTGCACTTTCCTAATGAGGCTGGGATCTGATTCCAGCATCATTAAACCAACTGCCTCTTGGTGGGTCAGAACCTGGCAGAGCACTGGGGTTGACCTACAGTGGCCCCCAGCCTGGAGATCAGGCCCCAAGGCAGGCTTGTCTTCCTCAGCCACACTTCCTGCTGGGGCCTCGGGAGCAGGGCTGCAGGGCTGCCAGACACAGCAGTGCAGGTCATGACAGAAAGCAGGGGCGACAGGCAGACCCATGCCCTGCTCCCCAGGCTCCGTGACCGGGCATGCGGCCAGGTCCTCCAGGAAGAAGGGCACCTTTCCTCACACAGAGGCACCCCTGACTTATGCGTGCTTCTAATTCATCAGCCTGCAGAGGGCGCCTTTTCCTAATTTGCACACACACATTGTTGGGGGGCCCCCAGACCCCCAGTTCTTCCTTCTGCCCCACTCCTCTCTCTCGGACCTGCCTCCCCTCCTTGCTCATTCATCTCCTGGGGTTTCCACACTGTTTCCTCCGCCCCTTCCTTCCTCCCTGTCTTCCAGCCCTCATCCCACCCTCTCTGCCCTCTTCCTCTGTGGATCCCTCTGGCCTGTCCCCTAGAGTCAGCCAGCTCTGGGTCCTTACCTACTGGGTCGGAGGCAGGGACAGGCAGCCCAGGAAGGGTGGGCCAGGCCCCTGCTAGCTCAGGGTGGCACTGGCACGTGCAGGGAGCCTGGGGCGTGGGGGAAGGTCCCGGCTCCTTCCATCTGCCAAGCTCCTAATATAGGCAGCGGCAGAGAGGGAGCGGGGAAGCAGGAGGCAACTTGGAGCTGGAGGTGACAGGCCTGCTTCCTCCGTATAAATAGTCCCGTCTGTCACCCCGGGGGCGGTGGCTTCCTGGGGCACTTCTGATGTCATCTGCTTCCCAGGAGAGAGTTGCTGGTACCTGAGGGGGCCTGGGATGCAGGCTGACATTTTGGGGCGAGGGGGTACCCTGACATGCCTGAGGGCTCAATACTCAATACTCCCAGGCAGTTCTAGCCTCTCCCACTTGCCTTCTTGCCGTAGGACAGGCAGAGGCCCACCCCCCTCCCCAGGCTGTGCAGACCTGGGCTTGAGCCTCTTCCATGAGGCACCTAGGAAGGGACCCTTCCTGGGCATCATCCATAAATTGCTCGGCTGGCCCAAGGGCTGTCTGAGCTATGTGAGGTCACCCCAAGGGACGATAAGGAGATGGGAGCCTCATTCAGCTCCCCACCCTGTGAGATGGGCCGTGATTGGAGCAACAGAGAGGGTTCTGTTGCTCCTTGCTCGTCCCCTGCAGAAGGAGGGCACAGAGCTCTCCCTCACACCCCACCTCAGGTTCCCAGCATCTGTCTGGTATTCCTGAGGATGGGTGTGCACTTGCTCCTCCTCAGCAACCTTGTCAGGAAGGTGGAGAACGCAGAGCTGCCTCCAGCTGGCACTGAGCACAGGGAAGCTCCCTGAGGACCGGGTGGCCCAGCAGACAGGACATCCTCAAGGGCTCTGCCTCCCTCCTCAGTCTGGAGCTCCTGCAGCCACCTCCCTTTCCATCCCTCCTCCCTCCTGCATGGAGGGGGCCTGGCCAGCTGGTGATGCCCCTGCGGGAATCTGTGAGGGAAGCTGCTGGGGGTTTGCCCAGCCCCTGATGAATAACAGGCAGGGCGAGGTTAGACCAGGTTGCCCGGCTGCACAGCAGACTCAGGAGTGCCTTGCAGCGGGAGAAAGGCACTGGGCATCGACCTGAGACCAGAGCCTCCATCCCCCAGCTGCTGGTCTGAGTTAAGCTAGGAGGGCCCACGTGGTGCCCCCTTACCCCGGAGGTGGTCCTAGTGTCTGCAGAGGTGGGAAGTAGAGGGCTGCAGGACAGGCGGGGGACAGAGGCTGCACCCTGTAGACCCTTTTGAGCCAAGTGGCTTTTCAACAGGGTGGCCATTGCAGAACAATGGCACTGGTCCACACGCCTCTGTACTTGCAAGCTCTGTGACGGTGGGAGAGAACCAACCTCCCTCCCCTCAGGCAGAACTCATAACAACCGTAGGACATCAGACAACGGCCCCGGGCACCTGGCAAGGACCGGCCTGATGACTCAGGCCCCACCTCCACTTCCAGTTTCCCTGCCGGAAGAGCCCCTCACCCATGAGCCAGGAACAGGAAGGTGCTTCGTGGTGGAGTGGACCCCATCAGTGCTGCCCATGTCCCCTCCACCCTTCTTCCACTCCGTGCCCACCCGCTCGCCTTCCAGGCGCTCCGACTCACAGAGTGCGGTGTCGGGAGTCTGCACTGCCCTCCCACGCGGCAGCCCCAGCAGCTGGGAGCTGGGAGGCCCTGGGCGCGGTAACTGTGGGGCATGTCCTGGCCGCCTCCCAGCATTCCCAGCCGCATTGCACTCCGCTTGCCTGCGGCAGCTGCCTTCCCTCTTGTCTCCTTCCCCACATCCACCAATTAAACTGGAATCCAATTGGATCTGAATTCTTGTCACAAGGCCTGCCTCTGAGGAGACCCAACTAAGAGTTGGACACAGTTGTGAGCTAGTTCCCTGCAGGACCCAGTGACTAAGAGGCTGGAGGGGAGGGGGCGGTGGCAAGGTCTGACTTCAGCCGCTCTGATGGCTTCAGGGCCGGGGCTTTCGGCAGACACTTTGCTATCTGGCTCTGCAGATTCCGTTGCCATTGCTGCTGTGACAGGAGCCATCTCCTCTCGTGTTCCTGGTCTACGTGTCTTATCAGCCCTTCTAAAAGGGCTGGCAGCTGGTGGGTGGTAGCAAAGTCATGCCCCCTCCTAAGGGAAATGGGATCAGAAAACTGTGGAAGATGATTAACGTGCCTTGGGCGTTTACTGTGTTATATTTTGCTTCCTCTCATTACAACCCTCTGGACAGGGCTGCCATGTACAGTCAGGCAGGTTGTTCACTGCACAGGGGCACCCGGCCAAGAGGACAGCCTGTGTTCTTTCCACATAGTGGGAGCCATCCACTGTCCTGCTTGTGAGCCGTCTCATTGTCTCCATTTTAGTGCAGAAACCAAGGCACAGAGAGTTTAAGTAATTTGCTCAAGATTTCTCAGCACGTAGGAGGCTGTGCTGAGCTCTTCATCTAAGAATTCTGGCTGCAGAGCCTGCATTCCCAGCTACGTAGCCTCACACTGCCTTGACAGGGCGGGGCCATCATGAGAGCTAGAAACCCCGGGAAGGCTCTGACTCCTGGGCACCAGTCAGGCCTGGGACACAGGGACTCCGGAGAACCAGGGGAAGAGGGTCACCTCTGGTGGCTGACCTGAGGTCTGGGAGCCCAAGCCTGAGCTGCCTGCCTGGGTGTCCATGGAACCTGGGGTGGGCACACAGAATAACAGCAGTGGCTCAGAGGGCTTTACCCGGTGCCAGGCACTGGGGTTTATATTTATTTATGCACTGGATCTTCCTACGAACCTGAGGGTATGTAGCAGAGGCCGCTCTCAGCCATGGATGTCCTCTCCTACCCTCTCCCCAGGCACACCACTGGGCCACGTCTCCTGGCCTCCCTTGCAGCTAGGTGAACCAGTGTCACCCCTTGTCACAGCAGGAGCAGGGAGGCTGGCTCTGTGATCCTGAGCAAGTCACCGGCCTCACTCACGGAGCCTCCGCTCCCCCACCTGTAAGATGGAGTCAACACCCCCACCCTGCCTGCCTCCCTGGCCAGGACGAAGCCAGCTGTATGAAGGTTTTAAAATCGCACCTGGAATGCCTAAGCCAAAGCTTAACACATACTTGTCATCTGCTTAATACAGCCCCTATCTCCAGTCTGGGTCTGTCTGCAGAGATTCCTCACCTTTCACGGCCCAGGCAGTCCTTGTGCGGGCGGCCTGCCTGCCTTCTCAGACACGGAATAGCGGAGCCCAAATGCCAGGCAGCCCCGATGATGACTCAGCCTCCATAACGAGTCCAAACATCTGGCTGACAAAGGGCATGGCTGGCTCCCGAAGCGGCTCCTTCTGCACAAATATGTTCTTAATATTCAATTAGTATTTATCCACCACGAACAACAATTACGCCATTGACTCGCAATGAAGTGCCTGGTTAATTAATTAACACAGTCTTTTACATGCTGGCAGTATTTCCCGGTGAGCACGATACTTAAAATAATAGCACAGTGACGCCAGGGCGAGCTGGGGGACTAGCGGGGGTGCCCTGGGTTTTCTGGGCTCCAGATGTGATTCTGGAGCTGATGTTTACCACACAAAGCATCTTCTGGAGTTAAAAGGAAAAAAAACACACCAGGATTTTTGGCAGGCCACTTAACACCTCCCAGCCTCAGTAGGGGCTGGGCCGGATGCCCACCCAGGGTCCCTGAGTCCTATGGGCATGGGTTCTGTAGGTGACATTCATACCTGTACAGACCCCCACTCAGGTTGCCACACCCAGGGACCCTCTAGGCTCCATGAGGCCCAGCCTCTTGGAACAGCTGACTCAAGACACCTTTCTCCCCTCCCTTGGCCTCCCTGGCCCTCACCGACTACAGCACCTCCTCCTCAGCCTTCATTTCTCCTTCCTGCTCCTTCCTGTGGGTGTTTTCCGAGCACAGGTTTGACTTCAGCTTCAGTTTCTGACCTTGCTCTTCTCCGAGTCTCCTCCCCACCTCATATGCAACCCACAGGTCCTGACTGCCCACCTCTTTGCTTCTGCCTCTATCAGAGCCTGCTGAGGGTACAGAGCACCACATCCCCACTGCCTGGGTCAGCTGGCATAGCCACTTACTGGCTGTGTGACCCCAGGCAAGTTACTCAACCCCCACCACCCCTTGCTTTGGGGGACAATCCTGTGGGAGATGTTCGCAGCCTCCACCTGCACCAGCCAGGGTGGGCTGAGCTGCGTCCCAGGCCCACGGCACATGGACTGCATTGGCTCAAGCCCAGCCACAGCTTTTGGCACTACCGTTTTGGCACAGGGCAGCCTACAGCAGCAGGCAGCTCCCCACCCAGCAGTGACGGAGGGGCCCAGGCTCTTTCTGTCTTGTTGCTCCACCATCCCCAGGGACCCTCCCATTGTTGTCCCCATGGTCCCTGTGGTCTCCACAGCCAGGGCCCTGCTAGAGGCACATGGGACGCTTTTCTGAAGGCCTGACCAGCCATGCTCACATCCCTCCCACTCAGCTTCCTTTGGTGACAAGGGGGTTACACAGGTACACCTAGCTGCAAGCAAGGCCAGGGGACATGGCCCAGTGGTATGCCCAGGGAGAGGGTGGGAGAGGACATCAGTGACTGAGAGCAGCCTCTGCCACACACTCTCAGGTCCTTAGGAAGATCCAAAGAGTCAATAACTATAAACCCCAGTGCCTGGCACTGGGTAAAGCCCTCTCAGCCATTGCTGTTATTCTGTGCGCCCACACCAGTTTCCGTGGACACCAGGATCAATGAGACACATTCCTGCATCTAAGTACCCCACTGAGGAGGGTGGTAGAGGAGACAGACATATAACCCACTTACCAGGATTCAGGAGGCGAACACCCAAGGTAAATACATGCCATGGTGGGCCAGGTGGGAGGAAGCAAGGGGCTGAAAGGGACTGTGGGCTGAGTCGTGACGAACAGTGGCAGTTTAACAGGTGGGAGGGGACTCGGAACCTGGCTCTGGAGCCAGGCCTGTGCTACAGCCAAGTCACTCTAATTAAATTTCTCCCAAATATACCATTAGTTGCCCATGCAGGTGGATAAGCCATTTTTGACTCTGCTAAACATTTGTTTGAGGGCCCCTGACTGATTCGAAATGTTGTGAAACAGAAGGGTTTGGCCCTTTGGGAAGCTGGTTTGTGACAGCCACTGCTGGTCCCCCAGCCAGCAGACAAGATCCCTTCTTCTGGTGGGGAGGCTCAGGGAAGGGAGGCCACACATGATTGTCAAAGCTGATCATGAAAGTCCATTGCTCCCTTTTGCCAGTGATTGGCTTAAATGTATGCTTGTGACCCAATTTCAGTCAATAAACCATAAAAAGATATCAGCTAGAAGGGGTCCAGGAAAGATTTCACTCCCTGGTAAAAAGGGAGCCATATGCTGGGAGATGAGCCTTCCCTTCCTGCTTTTGGATATTATGGTGTGAGCGTGTGATGTGGCAACCACTTTGCGACCATTAAGAAAAACATGGCTGACAGACTGAGAATAGCAGAGTGGAATGAGGAGCAAAAACTGGGCCCAAGATAATGTACTAAACTGCTGGACCTGCCCTGGATGTATTCAACCTCCCTAGAGCTTGTTAAGCAAGACTGTGACCTTAAACCAGCTACTTCAACGTCTTCATCTGTAAAATGCATAACAATAGCACCTGCCTCATAGGGTTGTTATGAGAATCAAAGTGAGTTATTTGCAAAACCCTTAGAAATGTGCCTACACAGATGTCTGGTGATGTTGGTGTTAAATAAATAGAAGTAATAAAAAGCTCCTGTTGGTTAAGCCACTTTGAGTGGCTTTTCTGTTACTTACAGCCAGAAGCATCTTGGCTGATACTCAGGTGGTGAAGAATGAATGGGCGCTTTCAGCAGAAGCCAGGGGGAGGAGCCTGGGTCAGGGTTGGGTGGATGTGAGGACGCTGGAAGGACCTGGAGCCTCCAGGAGGATGGCGTGATGTGCTGTCTGACATGGAGGGGACAGCTGGGGTCTACAGGGGCTGGGTGGTCGGGGCATGCACCCCTCGTCTCCACCAGTTGCATTCCAGCACACAGTCTTGGCTCAAAGGGCTAAACACATGCCTGCTACAGAGGGGATTTGAACCCTGGACAGTGTTTCAGTGAACCCCAAGTTTATCTTCAAAGAATCAATATGTCAGTATGCTCAGCTGTCTTAATCTTTAATTCTCTATTTTAAATTTTAACTTCCTTGTAATTCCAGTAAACAACCTTCTCCACTGGTTCATCAGTAGTTCACATCTGCTCCCCCTCCCCCTGGCTCCATCCTGACTCATCCCGGCCACCTGATCACCCCTGGACACCTGCTCTGACACGCCCATAATCGTCCTTCCCACCAAAACACCCACCCTGCCACTCCGGCTCAGACCCCTGCTCTTTTTAAAATAGCCAATCGGAATTAGTCTAGCTTGTGCGGTCTAACCCTAGCCAACAGGGGATGACACAGCAGTAGGGATGACCCCCGTCTGGCATAAGAACCTCTTCCCCACTTGTCCAAGCATGGGCCGCCATTGTTTGATCCTTGCTGCTGCATCCTTCTGTAGCAGTCAACTGCCCTGCTGAGAGGACTTATTTTCGAGTGCTATTTCTTTTGTGGCATCAAAATTGTACTTATAACAACAGGATGGCCTTTCAGGTTCACAGTTGTGGCAAGAGGATTTGACTCTGTGTGCCTGTCTCACCTCCAAATCACTGCAGAGCCATTTCCTTTTCTTTTTTTAAGAGACAAGAGTCTGAGCGACATAGCAAGATCCCCATCTCTAAAAAAAAAAAAAAAAAAAATCAGCCGAGCATGAGTGCATTGGTGCATGCCAGTAGTCCCACCTACTCAGGAGGCTGAGGTGAGAGGATTTCCTTGAGCCCAGGAAGTTGAGGTGGCAGTGAGCTGTAATTGTGCCACTGTACTCCAGCCTGGGACAGAGAGAGACTTGTCTTGAAAAAAGAAAAGAGAGAGACAAGTTCTTGCTCCATCACCCAGGCTAGAGTGCAGTGGCACAATTATGGCTCACTGTAGCCTCGAACTCCTGAGATCAAGCAATCCTCCCACCTCAGCCTCCCAAGTAGCTGGGTCTACAGGTAGTGCCAACATGTCAGGCTACTTTTTAAAACATTTTTTTGTAGAGACAGGATCTTGCTATGTTGCCCTGGGCTAGTCTTGAACTCCGGGCCTCAAGCAATTTTCTTGCCTCAACCTCCCAAAGTGCTGAAATTATAGACCATGAGCCCCCATGCCTGACCAAAAAGCAAATTCTCTAGCTAGATATGCCTTCCCCTACTTCTGCTGAAAAGATCTGTGCCTTCCCGCTAGGTAAAAACTCACCTCCTCCAGGAAGCTGACCTTGATAAGTGCTCCACACTGGATTGTGTTTTCTTTCCTTTTCTCTGGCTCTGAAGGTTGGGATGACAGGATTTGCTCACAAGGAGAGGCAGGGTGTGCCATATGGTCCCAAGATTCCCTTCCAGCCCAGACTCACTGCATTCACAGGGTGCCAGGAAACGCTCACTTCTGAGCCTCATAGAAGGCTCTCTGAGAGTCCCCACTCTTCACAGCCCAGCCCCCATATCAGAAGGAGTGGGTCGGGCTAGCTGCTTGGTGGAACTCCAGCCCTGGCTGACCCCAGCTCTTTCTCCAAGCTTCACCTGCTGCAGAGGAACAGGCAGGTGGTGAGCTGTCACCACTCAGTGCTCTAGGTCACCAGCCTCAGCTAGCCTCAACCTGATCAAACATCTACCTGCTTTTCTCTGCCTCTCTCACTCTACAATGAACAGGTCTGAAATGGCTTGGATTTGTGTCCCAGCCCAAATCTCATGTTGAATTGGAATCCCCAGTGTTGGAGAAGGGGCCTGGTGGGAGGTGACTGGCTCATGGGGGAGGATCTTCCCTCGCTGTTGTCTTGATAGCGAGTGAGCTCTCACAAGATCTGGTTGTTTAAAGGGTGTGTAGCACCTCACCCTTCACTCTCTTCCTCCTGTTCCGGCCATGTTAGATGTTCCTGCTTCCCCCTCACCTTCTGCCATGTTTGTAAGTTTCCTGAGGCCTCCCTAGCCAAGCTTCCTGTACAGCCTGCAGAATCATGAGCCAACCAAACTTCCTTTCTTTATAAATTCCCAGTCTCTGGTATTCCTTTATAGCAGTGCGAGAACAGACTAATACAAGGTCCATCCTGCATACCTTCTGCCCTCTGCCCCTCGACCTCTCCACATCTCTCCACATCCTCAGCAGAGCACCCCACTCCTTCCACCCAGAGCCAGAGAAGCCAGTAGAAGAGAATCCCCTCAGCTTCCCGACTGTAGCAGATGATCTATGTGTCCTGCTCCTCATTCCATCCGCCCTTCTTGGATTTCAACTGCAGCTGTGCAGACTGTTCTCCTCCTCCAGACTGAAGCATCCCACTCCAGCCCACACTCTCTCTGCTGGCAGGAGGGCAGGAGTGGGACTCATGCAGCCTGCAGACACAACACCCAAGTGGGAGCCAGTACCCCTCCTGTCTTCCTTGGATGAGGGAAGGGGTAGATAAATGTCCTTCTAAAGGACAGCTCTGAGGTGTCTCAGAGGGTTCCAGTGGGATTGAGCCCCAGTTGCCCATAGCGGCAGCAACTCCATTTCCCTCTAACTTCTGGAAGGAATCTTCCCTATCTCTCCAGAGTATTTGGCACTACTGTCCAGTCCCTACACTCATTCCACCTCCCAACACTCTGATGGCTTCCCTCTTCCCCCTTGGGACGCCTCTTCTCAGGCTTCTCTGCCAGACCCTCCTCCTGGTGTGGCTACTACGTGTCGATGCTTCTCAGGGAGGGTCCTGTGCTCATGTGTTCTCACGTGGTGTACTCTCTTCCTAGGAGTCTACCGTTGCTGGTAGCTTCAGGACGTCTGCATCTGTGAGTGTCCAACCCAGACCACCCCCTCAAGCAAACACCCAGATATCCAGCCACCTGGCGTTCACCTCCACTTGGGTATGGCAAAGGTACCACAGAATTAGTACATTCCCACTACCGCCTTTACCCACTCCTTCTGTGTTCCCCATCTCCGCAGGGGTGCCAGTCTCCATCCAAATAGGGCACAAGTCACACACTACCATGGGGTCAACCCGAACTCTTCTCTTTCTCATCCCAGCATCCCATCTACACCAAATCCTCTAGATTTGGCTTCCGAAATCTTTCCTGCACTTGTCCCTATCTTATTACCACCAAGCTTTGTCCAGCCATCTTCACTCAAAATAGCAACCTAACTGGGATTACCAGATCAAATACAAGAGGTCCAGTTAAATTTGAATTTCCAATGAACCATGCTTTTTTTAAGTGAATATGTTCCAACTATTACACAGGACATATTTATACTAAGCAAGTATTCACGATTTATCTGAAATTTAAATCTAACTGGGCATCTATTTTCAAATCTTTTTTTCTAGATAAAATTCCATGAAATCCCTAAAATATTTCAAGGACCATCTGTATTTTTATTTGCTAAATCTGGTATTCTTAATCCTAATTAATCTCTCTTCATCACATTATAGCCTGATGACCTTGTTCAAACAAAGTTTGCTAAGTAGACCATGATTGAATTTAGTATGTACATTGCAATCACTAGATCCATCACTTTTAATAAGTATACAAGGAGATGTAGTTTTTAAAAAACTTAATAAGTAAATTAAAATAGAATACAAAAAAATAACCACCCCAAAAGAAAACAGAAAGGAGAAAACAGGGACAAGTAACTGAAGGCAGAAATAGAAATCAAATAATGAAAGCTCGAAATGCAAAAAGATCAATAATTACATTAAATGTAAATGATCTAAACATATCAATTAAAAATCAGGAATTATCAGAATTAAAAAATAAACACGACCCAACAATATGCTGTATAATGATATAAAAAGGATAATAATAAAAGAAATGCCTTGCAAATGTGAATTTAAAAAAAAAAGCTAGAATGACAATTTTAATATCAGACAAGTTCGATTTCAGAGTAAGAAAAATTACCAGGGATAAAGAGGGGGATTTTACAATGATAAAAGGATCAAGTCACCAAGGAGACATAACACTCTTAAATGAGAATGCACTTAACCACAGAGCTTCAAAATACCTAAAGCAAAAACTGATAAAATTGAATAGAGAAAAAGACAAAATCTGCAATTATAGTAGGAGATTTCAATTATAGTTAGAGATTTCAATACTCTTCTCTCAGTAATTGGTAGGACAAGTATTCAGATTAGCAAGCCTGTGGAAGAACTGAACAACTCTGTAACAAACTGGATCTGATTAGCATTACAGAATGCTTCCCCCATCAACAGCAGAATACACATTCTTTTCAAGGGCACACAGAGCACTCACCAATATAGCCCATTTCCTGGGTCATAAGAGAAACTTAAACTCTAAAAATTGAAGTAATACAAAGTATATCCTCTAACCATAATGGAATTAAATTAAAAGTCAATAGCAAAAATATAACCGGTGAATCTCCAAATAAGAGAAATAAAACAACACACTTATAAATAATCCATGGTCCAGAGGAAGTCTCAAGGAATATTAGAAGATATTTAAACTGAACAAAGATAAAAGTACAACGTACTGAAATTTGTGAGATGCAGCTCATGCAGTGCTTAAAGAGCATTGATAACATCAAATCATTTACATTAGAAAAAAAGAGGGGTCTTAACATATGAATCCAAGTTCCATCTTGAGAAACTACAAAACTAGAAAAAAAAAAAGAGCAAAATAAAACCAAAGCACGAAGAAAGGAATCAAGAGCAGAAAGCAATAAAATTGATAAATCTGTAGCCAAATTGGCAAAGGAAAAATGACACAAATTACCAATATTAGGGAGAAAATTGATATATCACTTCTGACTCTACCATTAGAAGGATAATGAGAGAATACTATCGCCAACTCTGCACATATAAATTCAACAACTTACATAAAATGGACCAATTCCTTGAAAGCCAAAAACTACCAAAACTCACACAAGAAGAAGCAGATAAACCGAAGGGTACTGTGTCTATTCAAGAAATTAACTTTGTAATTTAAAACCTTCCAAAAAAAAATCCTGGCCCAGTTAGCTTCACTATCATATATATATATATATATATATATATATATATATATATAATTATAATTTTTTGAGACAAGGTCTTGCTCACTAGAAAAGAAAAAGACATAGACAGTACAGTAAAAGCTAACTGCAGACCAATATCCTTCATTAACACAGAAAAATCCTCAGCAAAATATTAGCAGACAGAATTTAGTAATATATAAAATGAATAATATACCATGACAGAGTGGAGTTTATTCCACAAATACAGGCTGATTCAATATTTGAAATTCAATCAGTGTAATTCACCATATTAACAGACTAAGGAAGAAATATCACGTGATCATATTGACTGAGGCAGAAGAAACATTTGACAAAGTTCAACATCTATAACATCCATTAATGATGAAAGCTTTTGATAAATTAAGAATAAAAAGAAGATTCCTTAATCTGATAAAGGGCACCTACCAAAAGAAAAAAAACCTACAACAAACATCATACTTAATAGTGAAGGACTGAATGCATTTCTCTAAGATCAGGAACAAGACAAGGAGATCCACTCTCATCTCTCCCATTACACATGGCACAGGAAGTCCTAGCCAGTGCAACGA